AGGAAAAAAATATCAAAGATACGCTTTAAATTATGCATGCAATGTTAAAATATTCCGTTTGGTTTTCCATCCATACAACTTTAAATAGGGCACGCTGATGTCAGATTTAAAAGGATATTTTTTTTTTATTTGGTTAAAAAATGGAATTCCCCTGGGTATACACCCACCAACTAACTAGGCTAAAATAGGCCAAACATGGCAATAGGCCTTAGTCTATTAGTATTTAGTACCACCCTAACCCTCCCTACAGTATAGGCCTAGCCAAAGATGGCCTAGCCTAGATAGGCAAAGAAGGGCTATCCTAGGCATATAGCCTAGACCTCGCTAGACTAGGCCTAGGCTATAACAGGCCTAGCCTAGGAAGGTAGACCCCAGACTATGAATTGGCTAGGCCTAGTTAGAAGCCTCCACCCAAACAAAAAAAATGCCATAAAAACCGTCCGCGCAATTGGAAAAATAAGGGCAAATTTCCACGCAGATTTTTCCGAAAAAATCTGTTAGACTAGGCCGGTAGGCCTAGCCGTACGGCGCTCTACCCTCTAGACCCTAGCTAGGCCTAAGCTTTGCTTTGACATAATATATAATAAATCTGCTACGGGATGTCAAACAACCAGTATATGATGTTCAAAAAATATGTGATATGAATAAAATTACCATTCCTGTCTTGCCGCACGTTTATATTTCCCGGTAAACCTAGGCGAATAAGTTCACCAAGTTCATCATCATCAGCAACAGCGACGGGCCTTGCTTGGTTCATCGTCGCCAATAAATGCCATAATTTGGCCAAAATTTACAATAAGCCTACGAGGCTCCGCAACTTTTTCTTCATCGGATGATGATGACTGATTGTCACTTGCTATAAGATCGGTCAATTAATATTAATAATAATTGGAATTGTGATGAACACTATAAAATCCGCGAGAACAAAATGGCTACAGCTAAAAACTTGTGTATTGTGGATATCACCAAATTTCACGCATGCGTGTAATTACATCCGTGTGCCTATCCTCCGAGGCATATGGCTGCCAAATTCGTAAAAGACAGTCGTAAAAACAACATTAAAAATGGACTTGAAAAAATAATTTGAGAAATATACAGTATAGCCAAATTTTAATCATTTACAATGAAATACATATCCAGGAACAAAAATGTAAAGCGGATTAGCTATTACCATCACTGTATTGTGTCAATTGGCAAATAACCTCCACATTCCCTATCCTCGCAGTACAAATTTATCTTTTTGTGACGTCACAAAAAGATTTTCAGTGACATTCGGGAGGAATTTTTGGGGGTAAGGCATTGTCCAATACGTTTAATATTGGGTGTCCGAGGTTTTCCAATGACTTTCTAAACAATGATGACAAGATTTTGGATTTCTAGAAACCGTTTCATATCCCCTTTAAGGATTAAGGAGAAAAAAAAATTCATAATTGTCTGAGAGTGCAATTTCCGGCCATTTTGAGGTGCCATAATCATAAATTTTCTCACCTCAGCTCCAATCATGGGGCTGAGGTGGTATTGACCATCTGTCTCAAGTTCCTCCCTTCACCCCCACCCTCTATTTCTCCTGCTTTTACTGTAGGTCCCTAGACAATATTTAAATGAATGAAAATTTAAATAGGATATTACAAATTATGGATTTTAGAAATCCATTAAAAAGGCCCTCAAAATGATAATTTGTCAGAGCTTCCAGAAGATTCGCCCCACCCTCGCCGGGACCCCTAGGCAGTCGCCCATCGTAAGGTCCACTTCGGTTGCAAAACGCACCTCCCCATCGAAAATCCTGCCTACGGGCCTGCCTATGCTAGGCATTATAGACTAGGCTCATGTAGGCTGGGATTTGCAACAAGGTCTTGGACTAAGCCTCTTTACTATAGTAGGAGGCCTGGTCCTAGTCTAGGCCTATAATATAGTAAAATTCTGTATAAGTAGTCATATGATTACAGGTTTACATTGTACCAAGGTCAATATTAACGATCGCATTTATTTTTCATTGAAAATTTAAAAAAAACTTTAAAAAAAATATATAATATAAACTATAATACCGTAGTTTCATTCAATGGGCCCCGACAGTTTTAAACAATAAAAGCTGGGTTCTGATGTTTGAAATCATGCTTCTGATTTTGTGATCAATCTGCTTTGCATTCTATATAGGCCCTACGTTATAAAAACATGTTTAGTTCTCACTAAAATTGGCCTATTCTCTGTATTTATTTACACCTAGAGTACACAGGCCTACTGAAGGACTATACCAGTCCGAAAGTCATGTACCACTCTATGTTCTCTAACAACGGAGTAACAGTTAATTTTTCAATCTCCAGCAAATTTAAATATAGCATCCAAAATCCTCCTTTTTGGAATGTAAGGAAATAGATAGTACTTTATATTTGTTGGATCGATTGTAACTCCTGATTGTAGCAACCCCAAAACGAATGGCACTTCAGAAATACAGTACAGTATACCAAAACTTCTCTCAAATTTTATATCCTATCGCGTTGTTTGTGTTATAAGTTAACTTCATTTATTTATTTTTTATTTTATTTATTTTTTTTAAGCATACAGGTTTGGAATATTTTTAAATCCTTAAGTTAAATTATTTAAAGCTTTCTTTTTATTTTCAATGAAAAATAAATGCGATCGTTAATATCGATCTTGGTACAATGTAAACCTGTAATCATATGACTACTTATACAGAATTTTACTATATTATAGGCCTAGACTAGGCCTCCTACTGTAGTATAGAGGCCTAGTCCAAGACCTTGTTGCAACTCCCAGCCAACATAAGCCTAACCTATAATGCCAAGAATAGGGCTCGTGATCGCGGTACCCTGACCATTAAAAATTAGCAGACGCACTGGGAAGCGTTGTTCACGGTATTGGACTGCGGCGAAAACTGATTCCCCCATCATTAATTGAACAGGCCCACGTCATGCTTGGCTGATTAGTTTTGATTTACATTTCGCAAGTCTAGTGCCATACGCAGCAAAAGTCCATTTCTAGTGTTGTTGTCAAATGCAATTCAAACCAGCCTGGTTTTTTATTTACGTTTTGGAATAGAATTTGGAGAGGGCATTTGATCAAGTCAGACCTACGTTTTGAATTTGAATTACATTTTAAAGAAATTAGAACTACATTTTGAAAAATTTGAACTACGTTTTGAAAAATTAGATCATTTTGGGAAACTAGATCTACATTTTGAGAAATTTACGCCTACGTTTTGATAAATTAGACATTGAATTTTGCAATTACATTTTGATTTTAACATGGACTTTTGCTGCGTATGGCACCCCATAGGCTTAAGGTTTAAAGTTCTTATCCGAGAAGACTTGTCCCCACCGGAACCACAGGCGAGTGAGCCGTTCGAACCAGCGCCGATATCATAGATGGTGCCCCAGACTTAACCGTTCTGCCAATCAACTATAACCCTATTGGACCAATACACGTTGCATCTTACAAAGCTTCCAGACGATTTCAAATTTCCACCATTTTCTAATTTGGTTGCTAAAGCAATCGTATGTGTTAATAAAAACCAATTTTGTTACCGAGAAAAGTACATCATTACATCAATAAAAAAAGTTTGTGGGAAAACAAAAATATATGAGAAATTTATAAAATAAAAGATGTAGTAAAATATGTTTATTTCTGAGCAACAGATTGTGAACAAATTGAACTTGAAACACAATTGGATTTCAGAATACTCTAGAATAATAGATAGAATTCGTATTACTGCATAATGTAGAAAATGTTGTCAAAGCAAACATAAAAAAATGTAGTGAGGTGTAGTAACAACTAAACAAGTACATAAATACGTTATTATTAAATAACCATAACAACCATAATGAGTTTGATTCTAATATCAAATAAATTAATCAAATTAAACCAATAATAAATTAATATAGGCCTAATTTTAGAATCATTATTATAAGTGTTGTGGTGTATATTATTATACGGGCGTTGGATTGGAGTGTATGAGGTATTGCAAAAAGAAAATGATAGCATGTTTATCAAAAAGTCCGATGGAATCAACTGCATCCTAAATAAAGCTAAACCTTAAAAGCGAAAGGATTTGGAGTTTTTATTTATTATATCATGATTTATTTATAAAAAGAAAGAAAGAAAGAACGAAAGAAAAACGATCTATTCTGAGATCTCGTCTTGTCCAAATGCTTATAAGAGGAGGGCGTATTATATTGATCTGACAAACATCTAGATGTGTATAAGAGACAGTGGTAATAGAGACGTAAAGTTAATGCCA